CAGCCATCAAATAATGAAATCTTGCCATTTGCAACGACGTGGATGGAACTAAAGGGTATTAGACTAAGTGAAATAAGTCAATCAGAGAAAAACAAATATATGATTTCACTCATATGTGGAATTTAAGAAACAAAACAGAGGAGCATAGGGGAAAGGAAGGAAAAATAAAACAAGACAAAATCAGAGAGGGAGACAAACCATAAGAGACTCTTAAAAATAGGAAATAAACTGAGGGTTGCTGGAGGGGAAAGAGGTGGGGGAATGGGGTAACTGGGTGATAGACATCAAGGAGGGCATGTGGTGTAATGAGCACTAGGTGTTATATAAGACCAATGAATCACTGAACTCTACCTCTGAAACTAATAATATACTATATGTTAATTGAATTTAAATTAAAAAAATAAAAGGATTGAGAAAAATAAATAAAAACTAGTATGATTTTAGACTTCCATTTTTTGTGAAAAATAGAAATTAATTTCCAATGACAGCCAAACTTTTTATATCATTTTGAACCTAAGGGACTTCATGTGAATTTTAAAAATTGATTTTTATATAATGTTTTCAGACATATTCCTGAATTATATGGAAGCAATAGGAATCCATGTATTGCTTTGGTAAATACCAGGCTTGAGAATACTGTAACTTCAAGATTTCTATCTCTTTACCTTTTATTTCTGATGGGGAACCAGTGAGTTGTGGTGGTTAAGGGCAGGGCTATGAAGCAGACCAGGTCCAGGTCTTGAACATTTATTAGCTATATGATCTTTTTCTCCCTATGTCTTAATTTTCCAAAAATAAAGGGAGGGATAAAAATTCCTGTATCCTAAGTTAGTTGTGAAAATTAAATATGGTTAATTATAAAACCATCTAGTGCCTAGAGCATAGTATTTATTCAATAAATGGTGATAGTTGTTGTTGTTATTATTTGAAAGGTAGAAGTCTTTAGGAGCAGATATAGAAAGTAAGTCAGCTTCTCCCCATTAAAAAAAGCATTTTTAAATGGACATTGTTCAGAAAATCTTTTTTTTGAACTTTTAATTTTCTGGCTTTTAATTCCAGTTAGTTAACATACCGTGTAATATTAGGTTCAGGTGTACAATATAGTGATCCTACACTTCTATCCAACACCCAGTGCTCATCATGACAAGGGTACTTCTTAATCCCCATCACCTATTTAACCCATCCCCCCCCCACCTCCCCTCTGGTAAACATCAGTTTGTTCTCTATAGTTAAGTGTCGGCTTCTTGTTTCTCTCTCTCTCTCTCTCCCTCTCCTTTTCTCTCCCTTTTGTTCATTTGTTTTGCTTGTTTGTTTGAAAAATATTTAGGAAATTTTCAAGTCCCTTGGTCTTCAAGTAACTCAGTGTGAATTGGTGTACAACACCAACACTGAGGAAAGAAACCATATACATCTTCTGACACAAAGCTAATGTTTTTTTCCTTATAAATGCCTATCTCACCTTTCTGAAGAAGAGAGATTAGGCCACCAGTCTTTCTAACGTCTTCTCATTTAACAATTTTTTCTCCCCTCATAACCTCATCTTCTCCCTAAAAATTTCCTAAAACCCCAAGACCAACTCTTACTTACCTGTGACTTTCAGTACATCCATCAGAACAATTCTTTCTGATTTTTCAATTGATCTTTGTTGTGAACCTGACCTATAATCATTCATTTCATTTGTTGTGTATTTGTTTTGTTTTGTTTTCGTTTTGAGCCAGTTGTCTCTCTTAATTTGAGGTAATCCAATTATTCCATTTTTCTCTTTCCTGTATCACTTTTGAAATTTGCTATTCTGTGGGTAGCATCAATCAGAAAAGAAGGACTTGGGTCGACCCAGGCACACTGCCCACTCAAGATGCTGGGTCTATAAAACAAGAAGTGATACGTGCAGTCTGTTATTGTGTCTGCCCCGGTTAAAGTGCCTATGGAGCTTAAAACTTGAGATAAAGCTGTCAGTTTCAACTTCCATTTTTGTAACAGCTAAATCATATTAATTATTGAAGACAAAATCTCCTTGGCTTCATCATACCTTTCCTATTTTTAACGAAGTCCCCCATGAGACATGTGGCATGCCGGCATAAGCTTCCTCCAAAAGCCGTACATCCAACCCACTGATTTTCACTTGCCAAGTATCTCTCCGGGGACTATCGACACCAGGAAATTAAGCCCTGTGGTTTAAAGAGATTGTGGGCAATCTCTTTAATGCTAACTTTCATTTTTAGAATTTATAACACATTGGGGCGCCTGGGTGGCTCAGTCGGTTGGGCGACTGCCTTCGGCTCAGGTCATGATCCCGGACTCCCGGGATCGAGTCCCGCATCGGGCTCCCTGCTCGGCAGGGAGTCTGCTTCTCCCTCTGACCCTCCTCCCTCTCACGCTCTCTGTCTCTCATTCTCTCTCGCAAATAAATAAATAAAATCTTTAAAAAAAAAAAAAGAATTTATAACACATTATACAAATTGTGGTCTACGCATAACAATGGTATTAATTCTATGGTATAACTTGGCCCCCAGTAGGTATTTTACTCATAAAATGAACTAATTTTATATAAAATCTGTAATCTTCTGATGAAGTCAATGTAGATATATGAAAATACATTTTCTCAACTTTAAGAAAGTATTTTCCATTATGAGGACTTAAATATGCCTTGTTCTAAAGTTCTTGAAATGTGATCAAGATATTGATTATAAATACACCTTCAAGGTTCTATTTATTAAAGGAACAATTCCAACTGACTCTCAAGACATTTTCCAAATACGGTATCATTGGGAGACTTATGGATTAACCAGACCTTATATGTAGAACTCATGAAGAATATTTTTATCTATATTGTCATATATGAGTGCTCTTAAGTGAGTTCCAGTTAAAAATGAGTTGCTCAATGAAAATCTCTTGTTCTCACATTAAATATACATTTCTATCATTGATTATAACCATTTATCATGCGGTCTTATTAAAAGTAGGCGTTTAATTTCTTATATGTTTATACATTTTTTTTATTTTCCTTTGACTTCATAGTTTGGTTTATTTTGTGATTTTGTTTGTTTTCTTTCATGGCTAGAATTCTACCTTGTCAAAGATTCCTGCCTTACAGGGTAGCTCAAAGTCCCCAAGATGCAGCTCTGCTTGCCCTAATACGTCTCAAAGGGCTTCATTTTCTGACAGGTTTTCAATACAGCCCACCTCAGCAGGCTCCACAGACCGTTTGCCATACTCAGAATCAGGGAACAAGGTAAGGCAGCAGGTCAACCAGAGGTTCAGAAAAGAATATAATTTCGGAGGTTATAAGACACGATTCAGTAAATATATAAAAAACAAAGACTAAACTCTAAAATATTTGACATGTAAACAATAGACCCTCTTAAACACAAATAAAAGTCTCAATAGTTATTAATAGTTAACCAGTAAAAAAAAAGTCTCTAGGTAGACTGTTCCTTATTAATTTATTACTTATTTATTTGGTATCTTGTAAAATTTCAAATACAAACCAATAAAGTAAAATGTACTATATAAAATATTACACATAATATATATAATAAATATATGTTACTCGTAGTATATAATAATATATAATATTGTATCATCTAAGAATGGCAAATTATATGTAATATAATACACCATTTGGACTCAATCAGACACATCAGGATTTAATACTGCCTCTGCTACCTATCAACTTGGTGATCTTGAAAAAATCACATAAACTGATTCAACCTGTTTCTTTGGCTATAAAATGCAGATAGTATTTTGTGGCAAGAATTAAATCATAAATGGATGTAAAGTACTTAGAATTCTAGTCACCTAAATGCACAATATATAGTAGTGGTCATTGTTAACTGGTGTGCATGCAATGCCCCTTGGCAACCCTTTCTGATTAATAAGTTATCATGCTCATGAAAATTTTTTTAGTAAAATTATTAATTCACTGGAGATTACTTGAGTAAATTCATTTTACCCATGTTATTATTTAGAACTTGAATTTCATGATCAATTATTAGCACTAACTCCAGAATTATACATTTTTATAAAACTTCTAGGCAAATATGATCTCTTTCTAAGTTTCAAAGTAGAAATGCTTATAAATATATGAAATTCAGTAGTGTGTATTAAAAGAAATTCACCTATCAGCACAGGAGGAAAAATAGAGCAATGTAAATCACTTTGTATAATTGAAGATGCATAAGAACCCAATGTGTTTTTTCCCCAATCAGGATGGAGTAACCAAGAGCCCAGAAAAGCGCTCTTCTCTACCCAGACCCTCCTCCATTCTCCCTCCTCGTCGAGGTGTATCAGGAGACAGAGATGAGAATTCCTTCTCTCTCAACAGTTCCATCTCCTCTTCAGCACGGCGGACTACCAGTAGGTTTATTTTCATTTGGTTTCCTTTTTAATCCTTTAAGTGGCAAAGAGCTTATTATGTGTCTATATTTTACATCTTCCAAGGAAAACATACACTGAAAACAAATTATATTTCCTCTAAGAATCAGAAAATCCAGACTGTTCATGGATTCAAAACAGCTGTGTGAGTTAAAATGATTGTTGTGGAAAATGAGTACCTATAAAGAAGTAATTAAGAGAGAAAAGCAATAGTCAGGAATTTTAAAAAATATATATCTGTATAAGCTTAACCCTTCTTAGGAATCCAAGTTCTAAAATCTAACTGGAAAGCCAATTATCAAAACCTAGGATTCTGCTCAATTTGTTAAGAATCTGAATTCCAATGAGGGTGTAAACATAACATGTTTAGTGCAATAGTTTCAGTTTCTTTTGATTGATGACCCATAATGAACTGGTTGGCAGTTATCACAGTTTAAATAAAAAATATAAAAAAGTTCCAATCATTACCCACTCAGGTGTTGTGTTACTACCAAGATTATCTAGTTAAAGCATGGATTCAAATTATTTTCATAAATATGTTTCTATTACAACAAAAATAGCTACTACCATTTATTGAGCACATATAGATGGTAAAATCCTAAGACACATTTTTCACTCAATTTAATTAACAATGCTGCTGGTTAGGTATTAATAACCTCATTGAATCTACTGATGAGAAAAAAGAGGGTAACTTGTCCAATGCTATTAAGATAGAAAGTGGTTGAATTTGGTTTTCAGCCCACTGATAACTTCATGACCTTAATGTCTTCTTTATATTTATTTGGAAGAAATAGTACTAGAAAACTGCTACGTAGAATCACTTGGAGAGTATCATCTCTGTCATTTAAAATCCATTAAAAATGGTGGAAATTGCTACTCTATCACATTATAGTTGATTTTACTCCTTATTTTAAAAATATTTAACAATAATTGACCCACTTCAAATGTCACTATTTTGTATGACACTTAAAGCATATTTTTGCCTGGAATGAAAGTGTTTATTATAGTTAGAGCAGTTGTGACCTACACACCACTTAGTTTCGTGAAATATTAACATTCTTTGAAATATGTGCCAGGAATACTTTAAAAATCACTAAACTCTTTCTTAACAAAAATAAAGTATTCAAATGAACTAGGAAAGAAGGCATTTAAGATACAGTAATCTCTTGAGAAAAGACTTTAACTTTGGAATTGGGCATCATCGATATAGAAGCTGTTCAGATAAATCAAAGGCACCAAGTGCTTCCCAAAAGTACACTTTGAATTATGCTTCTATCTGTGGTTATGGAAGCAAAATGGCACTTCATCCATAAATCCACATCTTCAAACCACTGTGCTCTGCCTTTTAAAGTGCACCTGTATATATATTGTTCTTATTTCTAAACCAATTCTAAAATTGTTTTTATTTCTAAACCAATTCTATTTTGACTTTCTAACTTACATTCATAAGCATAATGCATTTTATTATTTGGTAATGAACATAATTCCTACTCTGATAATCTCAGGACATAGGGTTTATTTTCTCTCCATAAAGCAATAGCTAAAAAACATAAGGACAACTAGAAGAGCAAGCAATATGCCTCCTCCATTCACCCATCATCTCTGTAACTGCACATAGCCATGTCCTGGCACTTTGTACAGCTACTGAGAAAAGCTGAAAGAAACAAAGCTATGCAGTTAGCCCAAGTAGAGAGAAAGGCATTGTCATTGAGGAGTTGACAAGATTAATAAGAACCTACAGCTTAATAAAGTCATTCTTAAATATATATTTTTCATAAATATTTTTTAAATTGTTTTAGTAATTCAGATTTAACTCAATTTCAGAACAAATAGGAAATGCTCACATTTGTCATTTTGATGACAAGAATATAATTTATTACACTAAAAATTGGTTGTATCTATTGAACAGTGGTGTTAGGGCTTAACACTTTTGGTTTTTCTTCATTCTCCAGATATAACACAAAACCTTCATTCCTTAGTTTTCTGAAGTTTAAAGCCATTTTCTACGAGTATAGAAATGACTCTTACTTTAAAAAAAAATGTTATTTCTTTTAGTGAAACTTGTTATGCACATGCAGAATATTGCTTCAGCTTAGTCTCCGTGGAGTAAAAAACACCTCAACACACTGATAAATTCTGAATCCAATTTGTACTGTTAAAAAAGAATGTTGAACTCCTATTGTATTCAGGTCCCATAAAAGGCATCAGTGCTAGGTACAGTGGCAAATAACAGAGAGAAGATCCTGCTCCCAAAAAGACCTGAGCTATTCAAAGGTGATGAAGTCATAGAGAAAACATTTGAGGAAGAAATGAAGTTTCTGGGAAGAGATTTTTCCGAAGGACACAGTGACTGACTCGAACATCAAAAACTCAGTCCAAAAACAAATTTTGTACCAAGGAAGCCACAAAGAGCCACGTTGGATGTGGCTGTATCATCCTGATCTTGAAATGTCCTTTTTGTGGAAAGCAATAAAAATCAAAGAATGAACACTAATTTATCACATAGTCTTCTTATATCCAATTTCATATTGTCAGTTGAGGAGTCTACCTATCGTTTGCCCTTATGTTAAAAAAAACCAAAAGGACACAGGACAACTTTCACTTGATACGTAAAAACTGTTCACTGAAAGAAGTAAAATGATCCTGTTTCTTCAGGAGACCTAACCCAGACCAGTGGGTAAATAGATATTGCCTGTAGATTATAATTATCTACGAAGCTCTTTTGAGTTCACCCCTTGGAATTATTTCAGCAAAGATTAATTATCCCCTTTCTCAGAAAGAACTTCCCACACTGATGACCAGTTGTATTAGATGACTCAATGACAGTTCATTGATTTAAAAGTTAATGAGTTATACCTTTATCCTCTACAAAATTTCTAGAAGATTTATTGGTTTTACAAAGTATACATACTTAGTAATAAAAAATAAAATTCATGCCCTTCCTATAAAACACCAAAAAAAGTGAAGAAATTTGAATAGTAAATGTAAACCATGTAAATAAGTATTCTATTATTAAAATCAATGTGTTATTTTAAGCAAAAAGATTTTTAGAGCTAAGAAACTAAATATCATATCTGGCTTAAAATTTAGTATCATCTGGGTAAATGAGCCTCAATGTCCTCATTCTTAAATTAGGAATAATAAGAGCTGTCTCTAACTACTGTGTTTGTTTGGTCATCAGATGTTTGCTATTCACAAAAGTGCTTTGTAATCTGTAAGGTGGTACAGTCTCATCTATAGCATTATGCTTTCAAAAAAGCATTTGAAATGGCATTCAAACACACTGTTAAAAAGTTAATACAAAAAAAACATGGCATAGGAAAATGGGAGGAAAAAGTTAAATAATAAAATGACCCTAAAGTCAAGTTGAGGCAAAGAAATGCATCCCAAAATAGCCTGTATAATTGACAGTGGGGTGCCGGGGCGGTTGGGGGTGGGGGAGTATTGATTTGATTCCAAACCGCAAACTAGTAATGAAAGTGTAAGAGAAAACAATCAGGTATAAGATTCACTGCGACTATGTTGTTAAAACATCCTATTTTTCTAAGAAGAGAAATAGATATTTTTTGGTATTAAGAGCTGAGACAAATTTCCATATAAAGGAAATACATGATACTGTAGAACAATGTCTGACATAATTGCATAGCTTTTAGTAAACACATTTGCAACTCACAGCATTCCTCAATATAAGCTGAAGGAGTAACGTTGAAGCACAATTCAATAAACGACTTTGTACACAGGCCAAAATTATTGCTATCAGTACACAGTTTTATGTTGTATGTCTACCTGAATCTTGGAATGAACTTACTGCACAAAAGAGCAAGTGATCCACACATCATTCAAGGAAATCTTTAGTAAATACTAACCCACATAGAACATGAAGCGCAGGCTCTTCTACCAACTTACGGCAGATCCGCATGCCTTAATGACCCCACAATTATAAGAAACTTCTGATGCCTTCATAATGAGAAGTAAGAAGAATAAATCAAGAAAACCCAAGTTCTTTCTTTGCACTGATAGCAATGCATGTTCAAAAAAATGTCACCAGCTTGTAAGCCTAAAAAAAGGAACTTTCGCCTTTTTGAGCATTGTTGTAATCCACAAATATTCCAGACTCTTTAGAAAGTTCATGTATTATGAGTTCTAACAACCTGAGGGAAGAGGATGTCTCGAGAATTTTCTGATGCTGTGGTTTTGGTTTGGTTTGGTTTTGTTCGTTTATATAGGGTCAGAGCCAATTCGCAGAGCAGGGAAGAGTGGCACTTCCACACCCACTACCCCTGGATCAACTGCCATCACTCCTGGCACCCCACCAAGCTATTCCTCACGCACCCCAGGCACTCCTGGAACCCCGAGCTACCCCAGGACCCCTCACACGCCAGGAACCCCCAAATCGGCCATCTTGGTGCCCAGCGAGAAGAAAGTTGCCATCATACGTACGCCTCCAAAATCTCCCGCTACTCCCAAGCAACTTCGGCTTATTAACCAACCACTGCCAGACCTGAAGAATGTCAAATCCAAAATCGGATCGACAGACAACATCAAATACCAGCCTAAAGGGGGGCAGGTAAGAATCACATGAACAACATACTTGCTGCCAGAAGTAAAATCCCACTAATGATTAGAATGCCCTCCTCATACTATAAACGAACAGTTCTTACAGTGAAGGGGGATGGAGGTGTTAAAAAGTTACTGGTTATGATTCATTGTCAAGAGTTTGGACCTCATCCGAGATAGCTGGCTTATAAAATATAATGAAAATCGCATGACATGTCCTTTCCTTCTGGTTATTATCGGGTAAAAATTGATTTCACCATACAGGAGAATCTTTCCATTGATTGCCTAGCCAATCTTTTCTGAATGTATCTATTGCCCTGTGGATTTTAGCATAAGAGATTAAAATTACATTTCTGATATGAATTTGAGTGTTCTAGTTTAGATCCTGACTGTGACCTCATTTGATGATCTTTTAGTGATTTTGCTTTTATCTCCTTCCTTCTTCAGTGATTTCCTATGTCATCTTCTACCATTTCCCCATGTTCACTCCCAAATCAGCATGGTTCACCACATTTCTTCTCTGGCTGCTCATGCTTAAAAACTGCAAAGGGTAGACATTCATGTTGATAGTAGATAGTTCTGTATAGTTCCAATGAATGAGATTATTGGATTAGAACTTCTCTTTAAGATTAATTGTATTGAAGAGGGTTATTAGTAAAGCTCTACCTATTAACTCTTAACTTCAGCTCCAGTACATTCACATTTTTTTTTGCCAACCAGGGGCCTTTGAGTTTTGCCTTGACCTCAACCTTGCTTTTACACTGTGTTTAGATGAAGCAATTAGCCTGGAAGGAGATAATACAAATATCATTTAGTATTTCCTTTGTGATTTTGATCTGCCTATGGAATAGTTTGGCTTTTCTTGTCACTAAAGAGATAAAACACCCATCCTTGAGAGAAAGAAGAAAGAAGGTAATAATTTCCTCTGTACATTAACAAACTTGTGATGCCCTCTCGACATTCCCCAAAGACTTTCTTTCAACATCAGTGTTCTTTTCTGCCACTCTTTCTTGTCCGTCTTGTATTTTCTGCCACTGATTTTTGGTGTCCCTCTTTCATGCCAAAGAAATTGTATTTTCAGGCAGGGTTAGAAGAAAAATCTTGCCAAAATGTGAAGCTATCAAGGACTCCTACTCACTGCTGAAACAAAAATTCAGCGTTGCTTCTTCCCTTAGCAGCAAACTTACTTGCTGTCTCATTGTGATTCTGTTCAAGAAAGCCCAAGGAGTTACAAAAAATCCACCAAAGGAATTGGGGGAAGCAGAAGGCGGGGTGGTGCTCCATATGCCCTTTGTGGAATGACTATAACATTCGATAATAATAAAGTCATAGACAAATGCTTTTTCATAAAAAGATGTTATTAAAATATGAGCTACACAAAATCTTTTTAAGCAAAACAAAACGTAACATGAATTCTGCCAAATTTGATCCTGTAATTTCATAAATCTCATACTATTCTTGCATTCCTCAGAGTTTTGCACATCCAAGAGAATGAAATATTTGGGGCCTTTTGGAAATATCCAAATGCTCTATTGTTTTATATTTATACATAAATAATAGACTAAGTTAAATAAAATCAATTTAGTGCCAATTTGAAAGTTTATCATTTTAGCTTTTGGTGAGATACCTCTTAAAATGGTGCAACTATTATGTATATTTAAAATCAGTCCTCTTTCTATAAATGTCCTTGTATGCAGTATTTCCATATTTAAATGTGGGGTTTACTGGCTTATATTCCAGAAAATATTGATACTGAAAAGAATGTTTCTTCTTAGAATCACAAGGGAATATAATTTATCTCTTAAGATATTTTCTTGAAACTAAAAAGAAAATTGCACTAAGATGGAATAATTATGGATATAATTTGACATGAAAATTCTACAATATATGATCTTATTCCAGTGACTCCTCAAGTTAGAGAGGCATGAAGAATGGTTTTAGCCTCAGCTTTGCCAGAATCACTAAGGTTAAACCAAGCCAAAAAATAGGAATACTTCTTTTTCTTTCTGCTTCTTGTACTGTATCTGTGAATATTTTATGTCTAATTTCAGTTGACTTCTGCTATACTTGGTAATTCATAAAACTGACATAAAGATACCTTATTATTTTGAACTCAACTAAAACTTCCTTAGAGATTGTGGTAATTAATGACTAGTAAAGACATATGACACAAAAATTACTGAACAGAAACAGCCTTAAATTCAGTGTCATTTGAAGAACATCTCTGCTTTCATAAGGCGAGTGTTATACCTGCTGCAAAATTATCCTAGCTCAGCTGGAGATGACTTGGAAAAAATCCACAACAGTGGAGTTATGAAGTGACTTTTGTTGGAGAACCAGGAGGTATTTCCTCACCAACATAAGAAACAGATGGAAGGAAGATATTTGCCTTCTATTTTGTGACAGATGGGATAATCCATTTAAATTGGAGGGGGAAATGAATTGGGAAATTGAGGTGCACTGCAGTTGAACTGTCTTTGTAGGAAAAATATATCACTTAACACTTTAACATTATCCCCTTAAAAGCCTCAAACACAAGGAATGAGGAGAGATTCTTTTTCTGTACATGTTAAACTGCAGGTTTTGACAAAATTTTTATGTTAAAACTTCTTAGAAATTATCAAGATGATATGCTAAAGACCCTTGTTCTCTGATTGAGGATCCATAACTCACTCTGTTGGGAAAATTGAAGCTACTGGCATGTCATTCCTAATTATAAATTGGATAATCCTAGGATGTTGGAATGGACAGTGGTCAACTCAGAATCAATGAAGAGGACAGGACAATAGCAGTACTTTTTGTAGGAGGCAAGTTTTGTAATAGAGATATGCAGTCTGTAGATACTGAGAAAAATAGTCACACAATTCTTATTAATAAATAAGGGAGCAAATTTATAAATGTAACCTTAATTCTTCTACACAGACTCTATTGTTATAAAATCTGGAGTGGTTAGATTGTATGTAAATCATTTAATTTTAAAAGCTATGTTATTGCTGTTTGTGCAATCATTAAGAATTGGGAGGGGAAATATGTAATAAAAAATATATCTGTCTTGGAAGTTCAACAACTTTCCAAGTTGGGAAGCCTTATTATTTCCCTCAGTTTGAGCATTTATTGCTCTTCTGTATGTATAGGTTGTATGCTCACAGTGATCATCAGTTCTATTGAAGGTCCGATTTTGTATTGGAAGAGAGCCTTAACTTTTTGTCTCAGTTCAGTGAGGCAAATCAATGCATAATGGAATAGATAAAAGAGCTGAAAACATGAGGAGATTTACAGAAAGCAATAAAGTTAATCTTTTCAGCTGAAACACAAATTCATTCTACTGGAAAGAACATAACACAATCTTAGATTCACTGTAGATAGTGACCTTGGTTAATTTAACTCAAGGCTCGGGTAAGACTGTCTTAGTAAGTGTATTAATTTAAAACTATTTCAATATAGTTAGCTCCCTATTCTACATTAAATCTCAATCTAAATTTTAGAATAAGTAATGTTAGCTTTTTAAGAACACAGCTGCTTGATTTAAACAAAAATAGGAAAATAAACAATTTCTCTAAATGCGTGGTATAAAAAAATTAGGCAGGAACTCAGTGAATGATACTTCTTACCTTTTCTATCAATGCATCAGCTTTTTTATAGGTGCTTTGATTTATGTGTAATACTTTTACATGCTTTAACAAGTTTCTTTTTTTTTCTCCACCAGCCTTATGAAGATCAGTATACAAATCACAATTTTTGTACCCTTGTCATAGTTGAAAGTTACTGGTGAGGTAGTTTCACAAAGGCTCTTTCCATTTATAGTTGTTGGATAGGATGATTATTAGGTAGATCATGATCTCTGCAAGGCCATGTCTGTGGATTTGATTGATCGCCTTGTAAATTATATGCTTCTCCTTCATTAATGGAGCAGTCAGTCATTTGAGGTCAGGTGGACTAAAAAGGATGGTGGCATCTTCAAGCAAGTCACTCCTGTTCAAGAAGAGAATGGTACTTCTCTTTTATATAAAGAATCTTATAGAATTTGTCAATCTATTACCTTCCCAGTCAGTGTTGCCCCAGCATCTTTTTAAAAAAATTGATTTGGATAAATCCATTAAACTAGGACCTATGAAGTATATACTCACATTCTAGAAATAAAGTAATCTGTCTTCTATCCCTCACTTCTGTATCGATCCATTGATTTAAGGAACATTGGATGTCAGAGATACTCAGCTCCTTATAGTCCAACTTCCACGTTTACACAGAGTAAGAAACAGAAGTCATTATAGTACCCACATCTTGCATATGGACTTCTAATAACATCCTTTAAAGGCTGAGCTATAAATTCAAGTTCTAGAATTTTGTATTTAATGAAGAATCACTTGTCTACAAAGTATGCAATTTAATGCACCTTAGTTATTGTTTTATTTGCTTCAACTTTGGTTGCACAACATGAAAATGGCAACACTATTTAACACTCCCTCCCACACCAAGGTTCTATCACATCAGGATTGAAATTAAGGGTTTTGATCTTTTATAATATTTATGTGAAATAATTTAATACAAATAATGTGTTAGAGTAATACACTATTGAAAAGTTAAGACCATTAAATTTGGAAAGTTATGTTGTATTTCTTATCATATTTTTTATTCTCCTACAACTGACAGATTATTTTTTAAAATAATTCTAAAAATCAATGTTTAGAAATAGAGTATAGACATTTTCAAATTCTTATAGATAATATTAAGGACAAATAATGAAATATTAATTTTAAAATCTACCTTGGCATCTTTAAAATAAATGGTGAGCTGTCTTGTAATTCCTCAGTAATTCCAGAAAGTCAAAGTTGTACGTTCATTTTACTCATCATTTATTCAACAAGTATTTATTGAATACCCATTATGTTCCATGCTGTGTTCTAGGTACTGAGAATGTAACAATGAACAAAACAGACAATAATTTTTGAAATTCCTACCTTCCTAGAATTTACATTCTAGGAAGAAAAACAAGTGAGAAAATATTATATA